AGCGCGGTGGATCAGTGTATCGGGTCAGCGTATTGTCGATGTGCATTGGGTCGGCCAATGGGAGACCATCACGGTACAGTACATGATATCTTTGAAACCAGAGAGTCAGACCAGAAACAAAAACCATCCAATTGAAATATCCTCAATTCAAAATCAGCATGAGCCTCACAATCGTGACATTTGCTTTTAAGTATCTATTTATAATATAAAAAACTGAACTACTCCAAATTACGGTAACATGTTAATCTAAAATATTTTTAAAATATTGTCATGTCAATAAAAATATTTACATGTCATTTTATAATATTTTTCTTATTGTAATATATATATTCATAGTTAGAAGCTCTATATCTCTTGTTAGGCAAATTTATAGTTTCTATATTTGCGATAGTCGTTTTCATTATCCATCACCACCTATCTGTCTCATTTATGTCCATCCTCAAATCCTCTAAATTTTCACTAATCGTAACTTCTCTATGGAAGCAAAATCGTGACAGTTATTCCTTTGTTGTCTACATGCAACAAGTACACCTCTGTTACATTCATTATACCTCGTCACCTCCTCGCCTCCTAAATCCACCAAATCTTCATTAGTCATTGCTTCTTTGTTGAAGTGAAAATTGTGATGGTCGCACCTCTATTGCCTACACATTAGGACCATTCCTTTATTACCTTTATTGTCACTCACCTATTCCTCATCTCAACGACTGCTCCTCCATTGTCTCATATCATGACATGTCAAAATATGTATAAGGTTTTTTTTTTCATCTCCTCCATTGTCTCATATCATGACATGTATGTTTCAAAACTTTTTCCTTCTATTCTCTTATCGTATCACTTTTTTTTTTGTTTCTTTTCATTTTTTTCTTTAAAAGAGTTAAGACATACTCAACCCACCTTTATACGAGAATTCAATAGAGGCTCTACAATTGTGATTTTCAACAACAATATGCATGATGGTCGCTCCTCTGTTACATCTTGTTATGTATGACTTAAATTCATTTTGTTATGTATAACTTATATTCATTTTCATATATAATTAATAGTTATAAATCATTCATCAAATTAATAGTTTGGTTAATATGAATCATTCATAATGAGAGGTTTGTGTTGCTTGTATACTAATATAAATAGGTGTGTAGGATTGTAACAATTGATTCAAGCAAAAGAGTGAGAGCAATCTTTAGGGAGTATTGTGAGAAATTAAGAATTTATTGAAAATTCTTCTTTGTAATTTTGTTATTTTTTTAATAAAAATTCTTAGTGCCTACTATCTTTCGAATAGTTATATATGCAAGGATTGTTCTTCCATTGTCCCTTATCATGACACATCATAACATGTATAAGATTTTTTTCATCTCCTCCATTGTCTTATATCATCACACATCATCTCCTCCATTATGATTGAAAATCAATGAATTCTAGAAATTCTTATAGATGTTTTTTTCATCTCCTTCATTAAAACATGTATGTTTTACAATCTTTTTTTTCTTCTAATTTTTTTTCTTCTATTCTCTTATTGCATCACCTTTTTTTTTTTAATTCTTTTTCTTTTTAAAAGAGTTAAGGCATACCCAACCTACCTTTACATGAGAATCCGACTTTATAGTTGTGATTTCCAATGGTACAAACATAAGTATGATCAAGAAATTGAGAGAGTTGACATATAGGTATGAAGTAGTTTTTTTTTCTAGTTATATACTTAAATTTTTTTCTCTCACATAATTTGAGAGTCAATAACTTATTTTACAAACTAAGGAAAAAAACATTTGTATGTGTGAAATCAATTTTTTGATGTTTTGTTTTGATTACCATATTAATCTTTCTTTTATGAAATTCACGTCAAACTTATTTTTTCATATCTTTTGTCAAAATATATGTTTCACAATCTTTTATATTTTTTTCTTATTTTTCTTTTGTTCTCTCCTTACATCACTCATTTTTTTTAAAGTTTTTTTCCTCTTGAAAAGTTAAAATATGTATCTTTTTATTTAAATTTTTAGTTAATTAAAATTAAAATTTTTATAAAATTAGAATTGTGATAACTATCTTAAGTAAAAATTTTATAACTAATCAGTATAAAATAACTGATAATTGAAAATTATATATATATATATATATGTTATTGATTACATTCATTTAAAATTGAGATACTAAATTTAATTGAAATATTATAAAAAATAATAAATATAAATAAATATTATTAATTATAAAAAAAAAAAAAAATAATAATGTTAATAAAAAAATT